CATTCCCCTGCTCAAAACCATTTCATGACTCTCCATGGACTCTAAGAAAATTCTTGACTCCACAGGCTGATGACCCATGCTGTCCACACTGGGACTCTCACTGGCCTTTCTACCCTCCTCTTCCTCCCCTCCCCTATGACCCTTGACTCCAATCTCTCAAGACAATTACTGGTAACACAATCCATTCCATATTGCCATATGACTCTGGGTTATTAACACATATATAACACAACTCCAAAAGCTGTTGTGGTGTTTTTGGCTGCATGTGATAGAATACCCAAATAAAAATGGCTTAAACAATAAAGACATTTATCTAGACCAGCACTGTCCAGTAGAACTTTCTGTGATGATGAAAATGGTCTCTAATTGTGCTGTCCAATATGGTAGGCACACAGTACATGCAGCTTTTGAGCAGTTGAAATGTGGCCAGCGGAATTGAGGCGTTGAATTTTACTTTTATTAAACTCTAATTAATTAAAGTTTAAATTTAATTAGCCACATATGGCTAGTGGCTACCATACTGAACAGTGCAGAATTAACAAAAAATTCCTAAGCAGGCAGTTCTAGGTTGGTTTAAAAGCTCAATTTCAGACCTCTATCTTACACTACACAAAAATCAACTCAAAATGGATTAAATACTTTAACATAAGACCTGAAACTGTCAAAGTCCTAGAAGAAAACTTAGTAGGTAAGCTCCTTGACATCAGTCTTGGCAATGATTTTTTGGATTTGACTCCAAAAGCAAAGGCAACAAAAGGAAAAATAAACAAGTGCGACTACATCAAATTAAAAAGCTTATGCACAGCAAAGGAAACCATCAACAAAATGAAAAAGCAACCTAGGGAATGGGAGAAAACATATGCAAACCACATACCTGATAAGGGGTTAATATCCAAAATATACAAGGAACTCATATAACTCAATAGCAAAAAACCCAAATAACCCAATTTAAAAAACGGGCAAAGGACCTAAATAGACATTTTTCCAAAGAAGACATCACTAATTGTCAGGGAAATGCAAATCAAAACCACAATGAGACATCACTTCACATCTATTAGAAAGACTATTATTAAAAAGACAAGAGATAACAAGTGCTGGTGAGGATGCAGAGAAAAGGGAACACTTGTATGCTTTGGTGGGAATGCAAATTGGTGTAGCCACTATGGAAAACAGTGGAGGTTCCTCAAGAAATTAAAAATAGAATGACCATATGATCTAGCAATCCCACTTCTGGGTATATATCCAAAGGAAATGAAATCATTATCTCAGATATTTGTGCTCCCATGTTCATAGTAGCATTATTCACAATAGCCAAGGTATGGAAGCAATCTAAGTTTCCATCAATGGGTGAATGGATAAAGAAAACGTGGTATATATATATATATATAGAATGGAATATTATTCAACTGTGAGAAAGAAGGAAATTTTGCCACTTGTGACAACATGGAAGTACCCTGAGGGCATTACGCTAAGTGAAATAAGCCAGACAAAGACAAATACTGCATGATATCACTTATATGTGGAATCTAAAAAAAAAAATCAAACTCATAGAAACAGAGAGTACAAAAGTGGTTGCCAGAGGCTGGGGGGTGGGGGAGATAGGGAGAGGTTGGTAAAAAGTATAAACTTTCAGTTATAAGATGAATAAGGTCTGAAGATCTAATGTATAATAGGTGACAATAGTTGATAATGCTGTATCATATAATTGAAATTTGCTAAAAAAAAAAGTAGGACTTAAATGTTCTCACCAAAAAAAAGTGAATATGAATGTGTTAACTCAATGGGGTCAATCCTTTCACAATGCATTTGTGATGCAAATCATCTTGTTGTACACTTTAAACATCTTATGTTTATTTGTAAATTACACTTCAATAAAGCTGGAAAAAAATAAGATACTATTTTAAGAGCCCCTCACCACCAAAATGCAGCTCAGTTTCATCACTACGCACCAGCCTCTTTCCTTCTTTTTTCCGTCTGCCATCCTCAGCATCGGGCAAAGCTCCCCCTCACGGCAGAGAGAGGTTGCAGCTACTACAAAGCTCGGGTCCTTACAGGAAAGCACACACAGGCAGGAAGCAACGGGAAACAAGCTCAGGCTCAGTGCTCTCTCTTCTCGGGAGGAAAAGACTTTAGGAAGTCCCAGGAGATTTCCTTGAAGGCCCCACTGACCAACATAAGCCACGTGCTCACCCTGAAAGGAAAGGAAGCTATGGAAGCTGACATCTGGCCTTTTCACTTCCATAGTGAACTGGAAGAAGTAGAGAGAAATGGCTTTTGTGGAGGCAAATAACAGCGTCTGCCAGGGTTGTTGTGAGTGGTTACTTACAATGTTATAGTTATTTAATATATATCTTTCTTATGGTTTTTCTGTTTGTCTCTATAAGTAAACTGTAAAATCCTTTAAAGTAAAACATGTGACTTAAATTTATTTGTACTAAAAAGTGTTTTTTGTTTAACTTGACCTACAACGTCGTTTGAGGAAAAAACTAGTTCAGACTCCCAGCCACTCTTCAGTTCTTGGAGAAAATCATAGCCAGATCAAATTGTTCAAAAAATTATAGCCCCGTGAAATGAAGAAGCAGCAACCACTACAGCAGGGTCAGGGTTGGTGGTCCAAGGCTAGCGGAGGCAAGTCCGATTGTGCTAAGTGGAGACTTTGGTACATATGTCAAAGAAACCAGCTCTCCACTGTACGAACCACTTGGAAGTAACTTCTCTGTATGTGCTATTTCCTTGCAAAAATGAAAAGCTCTGAAAAAACTAAAGAATGAGCTGGACCAATTCTAGATGGCAGGGATCCTTGTTACATAGACTTGTCTTGTCCTGTGAAAACCCACATGTTAGAAGAAAGCTAATTCCATCTCCACTAAGTTATGAGACTATCACCAGTTCAACAAGTCCTGGGTGGTGGTTTCAAATGCCTTTTTGACAAATAGTGCAAAGTTACAACTTAACAAGATGGCGGAGCATTTGACACTCTCAGAGAAAGTGTGCTTAAGGAGGACTAGTAACTCATCCACTATCCACAATGCACTAACTGCAGATCACAGACATTAACCATCAAGGCAAGTTTATTAACCTACTTTGTGATACAGTCTGTATCTCAAATAAGAACAGAAGCAACAGCAGTAATAGCTAACATGTGCCGAATGCTTAACGTGCGCTGGAGGTGGGCTAAGTGATTTATACACATTCTGGCGTTTAATTCTCACCACGACCCTCCAAGGGGGGTATTATCATTATCTTCATTTCTCAAATTATAAAGCGCAGACCCAGAGAGCTACTTGCCCAAAGCTGTTAGTGAAAGGAAATGACTGAGGCAAGATTCCAATCCACCCTGCTGCAAGGAAGCTGCTGAATGGCGGCGTTCACCTTTCCTTCACTGTGTAATCACAGTGATCACTGTGTAATCCTATATTTATTTGTTTGATTGTTAGATGAAGATCTGGTTCAAAACAAGCTATGAACTCAGGAGCCAGGATCCTTTCGTGTGGCTCTGGTTGCTCACCACCTGCCTGACACAGAACACGTGCGCCATGAGATGTATTATTATTGAATGTCCAAATGAATAATTGAATGTCTTTGGTGTTGGCTCTCCCATGAGTCTGCCCACAACCTGAATTAGCAGGCTCCATTAATTTGCTTTAAGAAGACAACTTCTGTTTGATAAAAGACTGTTTAGTTTTCCAAACAAATCCTTTCAGGGGCATCACATATAATGAATTTTAGAATTTGGGAGATGGAAAGTTATTTGAGAGAGTGTGAGCAAAGCAGCTTCTAATTGGAGATCAATAGGCAACGGAAACATAGCTGTGCAGACATAGTGGGGGGTCAATAGGAAACAGAGGTCAATGCCCACCAGTGTTTCAGGGCCCTCTCCTGTCGATGGAGGTGTCTGTGGGCCACACAACCAAAAGTCTTCCACGGGAAGACAGAAATGAGCAAGTTGGTGTACATTCCCATGGATGCTCAACCAACCACGTTCACACTTTTTTCTTACTTTACTTCCAAACACTTAAGCAAACTAAAAATATTAACATATTGCACTGTATCATTTAATAATCAGAGCGTGGGTGTATTGCTATGTCATTTGTAGGATTAGGGACAGATGTTTTGAGGGAAGAGAGGCAAGGAAAAGCATCTGAAATAATTCTTTTTGTTTACAACCCTCCCTCGCACCTGGTTCTAGGGCTTCACTCGGCCTTACCAAACGTCCCCACGTAAAGACAAAATGAAATTTTAAAAAGTGACTGTGGAGGGGCCAGCCCCGTGGTGTAGTAGTTAAGGCCGGCATGCTCCGCTTCGGCAACCCGGGTTCGCAGGTTCAGATCTCGGGCGCAGACCTATACCACTCGTCGAGCCATGCTGTAGTGGTGACCCACATACAAAATAGAGGAAGATTAGCACAAATGTTAGCTCAGGCTTAATCTTCCTCAAGCAAAAAAAAAAAAAAAAAAGAGGAAGACTGGCAACAGATGTTAGCACAAAGCAAATCTTCCTCACCAAAAAAAATGACTCTGGGACTTGGGTGCAGCATTTGGATGCAAAATGGAATAGAATACAGGGTGGCTCTAAGCTGCCTTCAAGTTTCTAAGGACCAAGTTGCTGTTTGCTAAGGCAATTTCATTTGACCTCCTCAGGATAGGTGCCCATCTAAAACATTTCTTGAGACCACAGATGCCCTGCATATTGTGCCTAAAAGCATTTTTGGATTTCAGGGTACCTCAGTATTCACATGTAATGCATTTCACTGGCAAATTTTGATTCAAAAGCTATGATGAGAATTTTTGTTATATTTTTTCCACCCTTCATGTTTACGAGAAAGTAGGGATGGTTCACTGACAAGCAGGAGGCCAGGAAGGCTCCCAGAAGGCTCCAGCAGCCATAGAAATATACTCCTTGGAATATTTAAAATGAAAAAAATGGGGATTATTCGTCTGACAATCAATATCAAACCCAAAATGTTTCATATAATTTTAAAAGAATGAGAGACAAGTGCATCCTTGACTTGGTAACATTTATTCAATGTTCTTTGAAATTAGCAAGAATCAGAAGAAGCACATATCAATCAAACACAGCCACAAAAATATCCTGGGTATAAATAAAAACGCACTATGAGAAATACTCACTACCGAAAGAACCAGTACTCGAGTACCTTTACTACCTCTTAGCAACAAACAACTCCAACAGAAATTTAATTTACTCACAGTATAAAAACCTTGACTTTTTAAGGAAAATATAGATTCAGTTCGATCATAATTTGTCTCCCTAGGCCCCTTCAATATGTATGTTTTCAAGGCCCAGTTTGACAACTGTTACGAAAAGGACAAAAACAAACTCAAAAGAATGTTTACGCAAGGTTCAACAGAACAGGGCAGAAATAAGTTACTTACCCATGCACAGAATAAGGCAAAGGTTAATTTCATTCGGGTTAGGAATAACAAATGTAACTAGTTTCTTTTTCACAAAACAAACATTTCAGACTTCTTTTTAAGTAACGGGTATACTGTATTATGTGTCATACTCTACATGTGTTTCCTAACTCTACTCAGAAAGCCAGCACTCACACATCAAAGAGAAACTTCTCCTCGTTTAGATTTATTCTGTAACAACCGCAGAAATTAATCTGGGTTTCGTGATAGTGTCTATCATGAAAACAGCACACGCTAGTCGAAGCGTACAGTTTAGAGAGCTGAGAGTACATTAAAACGTAGTCTACGGATTTCACAAATTCCATTTTTAAAATATTTTTTTTCCAAACTAAAAGCTGCAGAAAATTAGTTCTTAAATATTCTACCGAAAACTCTCGAGCAGCTAACATTTTAAATTTCTTAAGCCTTTTATTTTCTTAAAAATATTTCAATGAGTGGAATATCCCATCTTTTTGAAAAATAATCCAAAAAAAAGATTACAAATCTTTTGTTTTAATCAGTGTGACCAAGGGTTTGTCGTCAGGGCTGTAATCCTCATAGGCGATAGGGGTCACGTCATACATCGCAGGCCGGGATTTCTTTCCAAACCTGAAATCACAGGGAGACAGGACTCTGGTTAGATAGATATTAGATATCAAGTCCTATTAAAGGCAAATGGTGAAAATAACTTACATGCAACAATCAAATGCAACCATAAAATACTCTCAAAAATATCTTCCCTATCAAGTACAGAAATTTAAGACTTCCTGATATTAACATTGAATGAGGATAAATATTAGTCTTCCGTGCAGGATGCAAAAAATGGATTTCACAAAGCGTAGAGTTAAAATTAATGTCGAAGCTCATAGGTTAAATCCTGGCAAAGCAGTCAGGCATGATGGCTCTGCAATAGGTTTTAAGGAAACGTGTATCGATTTGTCTTTTTCTTCTGAGACTCATAACTATTTGGAGATGCAAGTTTATTTTACATCCACTCTAGTGACTGGAATACAGAATGCCAGGGTGGTCCTCCCTGGACTGTGAATAGACAGGCTCTCCTGTGGGACTTTCAGGAGGGCTGTGAAGGCTCAGAGGTCATCTGAGGTCCCAACATGAGGAAAACGGCAGAGGGAGAACGGACTTCAAATTAGGAGGTATTTGTCTACAAACGGCCAGCAGACACCATTCGATCCCACCCACCTATGACTCCCCAATCCCCACGTACACACAAGCCATTGTTTGTTCTCTGAGCGCAAAGCCATTGTCCCAACAGATTTGTATATATCAAAATCCCCTTGACAGCAGGACTGACGCCCAGAAGCCAGGGGTGTCAAAATCCAATTTCAAGACTTCCTGACAAACCAGTGTTAAGATGGCGATTATTAAAATAAAGCCACTTCTGGGTGGTCTCTTCCCATTTAGGACTTCACCTTCCCTAAACCCCCCGAGTACAATATGATTTAAACAATCTTCCACACTAACCCACCACCCCTCCTCCCTTTTTATTGACAACACTTTTTAACTGTTCCAAGTCCAACAGGGTTCATTAAAAAAGAAATTTTAAAAGGTTGCTAGGATGGGCCCCCTAGGACCTCAAAGGGCTTGTTTCTAGGACCTACAGCCCATCTCCTCTCCTTTCCTATTTCTTCCTTTCATATCTTGTAAAGTCTGTCTTCTCACATACAGAGATGAGAAGTAGAATCGAGAGGGAAATGAGAAAACATTGCATTCTTCATAAGATCTTTCACTTTTAAACATTCATCCATCTTGGATTCCAATTCACTCAAGATTTACTGGCCTTCAGGAGCACAAAGGCACAAACCATGCCAGATGGGCAACAGGCGAACCGTAGAGATGAAGAGCTAAACCATTCTGCCACCAAGAAACCCACAGCTACTACTGCAATACTAAAAAGCCTTCAATAAAATCATGGAGGTGTGGGATTGTGCATGCATAAATGCAGTGGGACCCCAGCCTGTGGTCTGTTCATCTAAATTGAGTGAGGCCTGTAATCTGAGGAGAGGAAAAGGCACAACGGTGTAAAAGCCAACAGGATCTGACACTTTCTCCCAAGTTTGAAACTTTCAGAGGCTACCTTAAGGCGGGAATATGTCAACAATCTATTTCCCATAATATAGCTAGGTGCACTGGTAACAATATGCCACTAATAACATTAATTTTAAAAATTGGGCAATCCCAGTGAAAGCTCTCCATGTCCTAACATAGTATCCATGAGATGGTTTCCTGTGGAAACTTTGACAGGAGGGTCAGCAAATCATAATCAATTGGTTGGCTGAGAAAAAAAAAATCCAAGCAACTTAATAGGTTGAATATATGTTTAAAATACTCATTTTATTTTTTGTATGATTTCATAGTTTGAAGAAGAATCTGTTTCCTCAAAATCTAGAAAGTTAAATGCCTCCCTGTTATGCAGTCCATCGACAAGCCATAGATCAAACAACTGTAATCTTAAATCGTTGACATGGAACTGAACATTGACAAGGCGGGTTTGAGGATGAGTGTTTCAGATCCACTGAGTATAACAAGCCATGGGCTGAAACCACTCAAGAGCGGCCACATGCCCACCATATATGTGCACAGTAAACTGGAGAACAAGAAGCATCACTTCGTGGATAGACTGGTAACTCAGCTGTGTGCACAGTGCTAATAGGATCAATTCCAAACCAGTATGGATCACAAAGTATAAAGCTAGTTCCAAGGGTAACCTGGTTAAAGTAGGACTAACACTGCTAGCACTACCTTGGAGCTGGAATTCTGGCACTATGACTTAACTAGCTGCTGAGAAGCCTGTCCAAATTCCTTAGGTGAGGCAGAATTCTCTACTCAAAGTACAACATCTACCCTATGGAAGCTAAAATGGTTTGAAACAAACACAATAAAATAAAACACACCTATCACAGTGGCAAGCTCACACTTAATGAAAAATGAATGTGCATTCATACTTATATTTGCAATACTAATAGTTGTTTATATTTCCTTTGTTTCCCAGAATTGGATTCATGTTAAGAAATAAGCTAACACCTATAGAAATCCATTTTAAACTCTCAGGCACTAAACCAGATATGGCAGGAGTTTTTATACAATGGTTCTTTTTTTTAAATAACACACTGTTTTTATTTATCATAAAGGTACATTGTAATTGCAAAAAAAAAATTGGAAGCTAGAGAAAATTATAATGTAGACCGGGGGTTAGCAAACTACAGCCCGCAGGCCAATTATGGTCTGTTGCCTATTTTTTAAATAAAGTTTTATTGGAACACAGTTGTGCCCATTCATAATGCCTCTTCTGTTTGCACACAACAAAGGCAGAGTTGAGTAGTCACAGAGACCCAGAGACTATGGCCGGCAAAGTCTAAAATATGTTGCAGGCCCTTGATGAAGACTGTAAGAATCACTCATAGCGAAGGATTTAGTATAGTGTCTAGCCATGTTAACCATCTTAGAAGCACTAACAGAAGTTGTGGCAGTGGTAGCATCAACATTACTGACATCTCAACCATCGTATTTGGTGACGTCTTTTTTTTTTTTTTTTGTGAGGAAGATCAGCCCTGAGCTAACATCCATGCTAATCCTCCTCTTTTTGCTGAGGAAGACGGGCTCTGAGCTAACATCTATTGCCAATCCTCCTCCTCTTTTTTTCCCCAAAGCCCGAGTAGATAGTTGTATGTCATAGCTGCACATCCTTCTAGTTGCTGTACGTGGGATGCAGCCTCAGCACGGCCGGAGAAGCGGTGCGTCAGTGCGCACCCGGGATCCGCACCCAGGCCACCAGTAGCGAAGCGCACACACTTAACCACTAAGCCACGGGGCCGGCCCCCTGACAAGTCTTGTATACCTTATTTCACTAAAGAAACAAAAGATACTGTAACCAGTTATGAGGCAGATCAAAGAGTGCACATTCCTCTAGTTCACATTCCCCTGGACGTCAACAGCTAAAACTATACCGCAGAGAATGTCGGGTGGACCAGACCTTAAGAAAGACCCAAATCGGGAGAGGCTCTTAGAAAAAGTGACTATGCCTTTTCTCAGCTCTGCTTTTTTGGTTTTCTGGGATCAGGCACACATAGCTGGTAGCACAGCGAGCAACTGGCAACCGAGATGTGACCTCAGCTACAGAACCTGGAGAGTCGTGGCTTCGCTCCCACTGATCAGTTGCAAACTCTCTCCAGCCTGAGTGTAAGCGAAGCAGCCATGAAATAGATGGCTCTTAGGACAGGAGAGAGAGGGGGCTCCTTCTCAACCCAGCACCAGCACCGCTGATTGCTAACATCAGAATCACTCGAGACTGCCTCAGTCACTCATGAATTCACGGATGACCCACTCAGTATTCGTCCTGCATGGCCACTGGGCTGTAGTTGTTCTGATCCAAGGTCACCTCCAGGCTAGCAGCACGGAGACAAGCCATGAAATGGACATTAGCTTTAGGCCACTGCTGAAAACTAGGAAGAAGGTAATATCAAAAGGGTTAATTTCTGTCAGTGCCTTTCTAGGGTTTCCAGGAAAAGGGAGCAGAGAGAGCCAAACAGCCAGAGACTCAGCCAGGGCCTCTAGAGAGCTGTACTGTAGAGACGAGAGGTCACAGCCCAATAAACGTTTAGAAGGGAATGTTCCCAGATATTTGGAAAGGTACTGTATTAACTTCAATGGTTTTATCTGTAGGCACTGGTGCATGTAGAGGCTTGTTGGTGAGGAATTCTGCAGTAAATATTTTTGATAAAAATCGGCACCAAATAAGAAACAGGTTTGTAAATGCTTTCAAGTTTATTCTTTCCTTCCAAGAGAATTAAGCTAAATATCTTCCCAGTGGGCTATATAAGCAGGAAGCTCAGAATAATCTATCTTAAACTATTCTGGGGCTGAAATAAAACACTCTTCCTCTTGAACGCAAGAGAGCCCTCTGGGGGTGGAGGGAATCTGATTCCTTGGGTCTCCCAATACAGCCCTCTATAAAGCCAAAGATTCTGCTCCTTCCTGATGAACTAGGCCCCTCCAGGAATGGGGAGGAGAGAGAAGACTCTTGAACAACAAAGGAACTCATCTATTCGCCTCGCTTTTTTACATCCTCTACCTCTCATCCAATGATTGGATGATTTGCATCCAATGCAAATACTCCTGCAGGCTGGTACCACCTACTAAGCTAGTGCCCTGGGGTGAATCCACCTCTCAGGCAGCTCAAGATATCCTATGCCAACCCCTAACCAAGATCATCCACTCGTTTCAGACCTCAAATCTTAGTAAGGTCTACTATGTGCCAGGACCCACTGGAGATATAGTAATAAAACCATTTCCTGTTATGTCCAGGCTAGTGGAGGAAAGAGTCAAATAAACAAGTCAGGTGAGATTGGCAGGGATTGGTTTCAGGGCTTCCTGGAAGCTGTGTTGCTGAGCTGACTCTTAAAGGAAGGAGCCAATGATGAGCAGCTGTGTAGAACCTGACCTGGAAGCGAGTTGAACTCTCTTTTCTCTCTCATAGTAATAGAAGTAAGGCTGGTGCAGCTCCCACAAAAAAGTTACTCTTCCCCCACCTAGGCACTGGAGCAGATGCTCTATATTTCCAAATTTCTCTCTCCCGCTGGCTCCTCTCCCAGGAAGGCAGATTCCGGTGTTTGCTTCCATTGGAGTGGCAAGATCACTGTAAGATCTGAGTCTTGGGCTTGGGGGTTTCCTTTTGAAGAAAGCAAACTTCCTGAACCTCTGAGCTTCTATGCCATTCAGACAGAATTGGATCTGCTTGTATCTTGATCAACATCAACATACAACATCCCAACAAAGATTATGCAGCTAATAGTTCCCTTCAGCCCCAATCTTAAGACACCAAGCTCAGCCCACTTCTTACTACAGTGCACTGGCTTTCTGCATGGTGTGCTTTGGATTGTTCTACCAACTAAAAGAAACAATGGTGTTCTTTAATGCACAACATCGCTATTATTTTTGTAGTAAATATTCTTTGCAAAAGCCAACAAAATGTTAGGTTAAATTATTTTTTTTTCAGTGTTATAATAGATTTGGAGAAGTAAATATGGTGTTATCTGTTTATACGATCCTTTAATATTTGTAATTTAATTTGATTGTCGTAACTCCCTAAAGAGGTAGTTATCCCTTTTGACAGTTTAGGGAATTGTTTTTGTGGAAGGTTAAAGGATCTGTCTGAAATAGAGTCAAGTAATGGAGTAGCTGGACTCAGTGCCATACCTCAGACACCCCAACTCACCCTCTTTCTATGATACCATGCTAACTCCTGTCTCTCCAGGAGTCTCTTCTCCACAAAAGGACATTGTTTTATATAATATGAACTCTTACAGTAGAATGATAGCTGTTTGTAAGTCTTTAAGTAGGCGCTTAAAACAAATGGAATCATTTATATCCATGCTGACTGTTGCAAGAACATAGCCAAAGACAGTCCAAAAAAGGAATTATCAAAAATGTTTCATATACAGTGATTAAGAACAGGTTTTTATCGCACAGATAAGCACAAATTAAATGAACGAATGCATTCAATGAAAACAGTGAGCTAGCAGGAAATTCAAGGGAGTTTGCTTATAAAGAGGCCTGATTATCTGCCCCTCAGTACTACCTTGAATCTGTCTTTGATTTTCTGAAACTCTCTTTGCAGATGTGAAGTCTTGTTTATAATATAACCCTGGTACCAAGAATGCACATGTGAAAGCAGCATCTCCTTTCCTCCCCCTCCTCCCCCTCCAGCAACCCACCTGGCATGCCGGATGGAAGCGATAGCGTTGCTGAACTCGCTGTCGATGCTGCGGCAGTTGTAGAACTCCTCATAGGCCGGCCTGGAAGAGCCCTGGTACTCGATGCGGCTGATGCGGCAAATCCCCACAATCAGAATGATCAGCATCAGGATGAAGGCGACACAGAGGGCCCCAATGATGATGTACAGGGAGTGCCGGGGCATGTTGGTGAGACTCTCCGCCATGTGCCCGGACTTCCACTGGAGGTCTGAAGGCGAAAATAAGCAAATGGCTGGATGTGAGCTGTGCCCTTTTGAATGGGAAGGTCTTTCCTGTCCTTGCATCAGTGACTTAAAATACAAGGGCCATCCAAACTGGGAACAATTATTTTCAATGGGTAATCCAGACCAAGGGCTAATATCCTTAATACATGAACACCTCTTACAAATCATTAAGAAAAAACAGGAACACACCATAGAGAAATGAGCACAAAATATAAAAAGAAATTCACCAAAGGAATACAAGTAGAAAATTGTTTAGCTTCATGATTATTTTTAAAAAATGCAATTCCTCTATAAGTTCCCAAATATTATACAAAAACTGTGATAACCATAGTTGACAAGGGTACAGAAATGAGGACTGTGTAAATTGATACACAACTCTGTGTGGACTAAATGGCATATCCTTTGATTCAGAAATTCCAATTTTTAGAATTTATGCTGGAGAAATGTTAAATTATCAACTATTACACATTTAGAAAAAGGTTGCAAAAATAAGCACAGACACCCATGTACTCACCACTCAAAGTTAATAAATGTTCATATTTGACAATTTTTGCTTTAGAATTCTTTTCAGGTTTTTTTAAAGAAATAAAATGCTACAGATATAGCTAGAGTCCCTCACTGCTATATTCTCTCTCCATCCCACCAATAGACAATACAATTTATAAAAGTGAAAAAAAAAAGGGAAACAACCTAAATATTCAACTCTTAGTGAAACAGGGAGGCATTCATCAAATAGCAAAAGAATAAAAGAAGGTTGGTTACCAAACAGAACCTAGCTGTATAATCACATGTGAGCTTAAGATGTTGATCTGCACACTGAGAAGCTCAGAGGGATAGTGACAATAATGAGGAACATTTGTTTTCTTACTATGCTAAGCTTTTGGAAAACATCTCATTTAATCATCACAACCACCAGAAGATATATTATTCTCTCTCCCCACTTTATAGATGAGACTAGGAAACTGACGTCACTTCCTGGGTCAATGTGTCAAATGTAAGTCTAGACCCAAGTTCTTAGCATCTGCCTTGCACAGCAACGCACTAGCAACAGTGATCTCTGGAAGGCAGGATTACACTGACTTTTACGTCTTTCTTTACACTTCTCAGTCTTTTCAAGCTTTTTAAAAGAGAATAATGTATTCCTTTTATAATAATTTAAAAAATAAGCAATAAGTTATTTGAAGAAAACACCCAGGGGATTATCTTAAAGCACAACTAGTAGAAGGAGTGTGGGCTTTGGGATCACACCAACTTTGTTTTCAATTCCAGCTGTTACGTTTACTTGACCTCCCTAGGCCTCAGTTTCTTCACTTGTAGGAAGAAAATAGCAATGTATATCCTATGGGCTTGCTGGGAGCATAAGTCAGAAAACATGTAAAGAAAAGTGAGAAAGTCCACTGCCCAGCACGTGGTGGGTGGTCCCTAAGGAGGGGCAGCTGCAGTGGTGGAGGAGGGAAGGATCAAGAGAAGGATGCTGTCCTCTGAGGCACGTGCTCTGAGCTGAGGATTATCGGGCATTCTCCTGTGCTGTTCCAAAAAGCACCAGCTTGTATGAGCAAGAAGAAACGGAAGGATGGGACATCAACTCTGCGTCTGGCATAGGTCAAGAGCGTCAAATTATGTCTTGTTTATAGGCCTGCACACAAACGGAATCATCTGGACAATGTGACCAGGATTTGAAAGGAAGCTGTGAAAATTAAAAAACGGCTAGGTAAGACCAAAGAGAAGCTAAACTTGTGTGGAAAAGAGGATGCCTTCTCTACCTTACTTACAACACCACCACCACCTCCATGCCATCACTTCTACGTTAGGACTCTGGGGGCCTGGAAATGGGGTTCAGGGGTGGGCAGGAATGGATCTGTCTTCCTGTGAAATCCTCAGAACTCTTCTCACTGGTCCATTTTATTTTTTATTTTTTATTTTTTTGTGAGGAAGATCGGCCCTGAGCTAACATCTGCCAAGCCTCCTCTTTTTTTGCTGAGGAAGACTGGCCCTGAGCTAACATCCATGCCCACCTTCCTCCACTTTATATGGGACGCCGCCACAGCATGGCTTGCCAAGCGGTGCGTTGGTGCGCACCCGGGATCCGAACCGGCAAACCCTGGGCTGCCGCAGCGGAGCGCGCACTTAACCGCTTGCACCACCAGGCCGGCCCCTCACTGGTCCATTTTAAGTGAGAGTATCTGTGACCTCTGGGTACTCATATCCTCATCTTAGCGACATCTTTAGTGAACATGGAATCCGAGAATCAGTATTCTTTATCAGTTACAATCTGCAGCAGAGCACAGGTAAACATCCCAAGAAGGATCCAAACGCGCAGACCCCTTTCCTAGAAGCCTAATGGAAAAAGAACCATGCCCTGAGCCTGGACGGTGCCTGAGAATTTGAGACGAATGGGACGAATGAAGTGAGTTCTGAGTCTGCATCCACATCTTTGACTCCTGAGTGTTTCACCAAGGCCCTGGAGGTCTGGTTTTGCCATTCCAGCCTGCCTGCCTGAGCTCACAAAGCTGGCAGAGCATTAAGACTGACCATTAGTGCGTTCACTGCTGCGTCTGAGCCAACTCACATACAGGCAGATGGACCGACATATAAATCACTGCAAATAAACGGTCGGGATGGAAGGGAGAAGGCGTTTTGTGAAACTAGAACCAAGACTCAATCCCCAAATCAACAGCCATTTCACTTGGCAATACCTGATGCACACTGAGACAGACAACTCATTTTTCTGGCAGAAAGAGAAGCGTGACTCACTCGATTTCCAAGTATTTCGACATTCTCTGAAAAATTCAGTTGTAGGCTGGAGTCCAAGGCTCACAGAGTATATGCTATAACATCCATTTAGCATCAACACGAGGCCAGCCAGTACTGTTTCTACTCCAACTTAGCAGAGTGCTCAGATCTGATGGCTATGGCAGGGCCACATGAGTTCTTGATGAGTTCTTCTGGTCGACGCACAACTTCATGTAAATAGCTTACACATCGTCTCAATTGTGTTATGCAGCAAGTGTACAACCACACAGTCACTACAGTGGAAAGACAACTGCACTGGGGTACACACTCAGCACAGTGTCCCAGGCCTGATAAGCTGCCCAAATTGCTTGCATTTCTGACCATCTGCTCCATTTCCCAAAACTCTGCATTCCAAGCTGTTTAGACTTTTGGGAAAACTTTCTCAAAATTTCTCCTAAAACCTCTGCTTCCCTCCTGTCCCCGCCCTCGCCCTTTGCTTTTTCCACCTTACTGTCATCTAAAAATTTTCTGACAAGTGAATGTGGCTGCTTTACAAGCTAATCAGGTTAGTAGCAAGGCTGGATCTGAATAAATCCAATACTCGGTCTGAGAGGCAGCAAATCGATCTGCACCAGGTGGCTACAGCTGCCATCTCCCAGTCCAGGCGCTACGCTCATAACTCATCACTCTGTCGCTTCCTGGGAGTCCCACTGCATGAATCATTTACTATGTTGGCTACAGCATGGCTGGGGGAAGACTCGTGCACCAGAACGTGCTGGATGGGATGATCTCATCGGCCCCAGCAGGTGCGTGAGCAGGAAAGCACGCACATGAACTGTTCAGGAAAAATGTCGCATTTATGGATCTGAGGGATCATTTGTATTTTGGTTTAAACCCAACTTGTTCGAGGTTTTCCAAGTGCTTTCGCATTTAACATTTCAACTGGTCCTAAAACATCACCTTGAGCTAGGTAGGGGGACTGGACTCAGAGCAGCTGCTCAAGGTGATACAGGCAGTTGATGGCCAAGCTGAGAATAAACCCAGATCCGCCAACAACCTCCACTCCACCAAAAAGAGACTTCATTAGATTTAAAAATTTAATTCTAAAATACATTGCCCATATCTACTTTTTCATTTACCTAGGTGAATGTAGCTAGACTAGTTAATTTGTCCACTATGTTATTTAAAGAGTGTGAAAGTGAGTGACAGTGTGTTTTGTGTAGATGTCACTTAGATAGCTAGATAATCTTATAAACCATCTGCTGCCTAACAAATGTGAGCAGGGATTTCAGATTTCTTTGTTTTCTATAGCTAAAAGTTAGCTGGACAATCAAAGCAGTCAATGAGATTGAAAAAAGTTAACAACACTCGTTAATCTTCAGAAGAGGAAGGAATGGAAAAGGATGGAAAGAATAGCTCATCTCCTTCATGGGAATCCCATCACTGAACACATCTTAATTAAGCACCTACTATGTACCAGGCCTTGTGCTGAGTGCCTGGGATAAGGAGTAAGGGAAAACAGAGAGAAAAAGCGGCTCAGGTAGCCCCCAACCTTTTGAGGGACGTAGGGATCAAGCAAATGGTCACAAAATCAATGAAGAAGTGCAAGTGTGCTAAGCCAGTGAGGGACAAGCTCTGCGGTGCTACCAGAGAGGACAAGAGGACACTCCGTCTAATTGGGGAATCAGGAGAGATTTCATGATGGGAGTCCACAGGGAACGGAGCTCTAAGGGTGAGCCGGTATTAACCAGGGATTAGGCACAGCAGAGAGAAGACTGTCCCAGGCAAAGACCTGGGAGGGGGTGGGGAGCAGAACGAGGGACTGAAAGGGGGACGGTGGCTGCTCCAGGGAGTGAAGTGTGGCTGAGTGAGGAGGGAGAACCTCCCGCAGGGAGAGGAAGTCCTCCAGGCCCCATAGGCAATAGCATGGCCTTTGGTCTCCAGTCATTATGCATTTTAATAGGAGCTTGATGAGGGCAGGAATGGAAACAGTGGTGGGAAGCAGGGACTAAGTGTTCCAATTTCCACTTTGAAAAGATGCCTCTGCCACTTGCAACCACATGGGTGAACCTGGAGGACGTTATGCTATTGAAACAGGCCAGACACACAAAGACAAACACTGCATGATCAATTATAAGTGGACTCTAAAGGAAAAAAAAAGCTGAACTCAGAGTAACAGAGTTATAACCTAGTAACAGAGTATGGTGGCTACCAGAGACAGGAGTGTGGGGAAAAGAGGAGATTAAAAAAG